AGCGGCGCGGCGAGGGAGCCACCCATGGGTGCCCGCCGTACTGGGCCTTCCCGTAGCCCCCTCCCAGCTCCATGCTGGCCCTCAGGCAAGGGGGTGCTGCCCGCCCTAGTGCTGCCTGCCCGCCCCGAGGGTTTGATAAACCCACAGGTTGATGCGAGGAGCTCGATGTCTCTGTGATTAGAGTTAAGCTTTAAATAATTTCCCACTGACTTGGGCAAGGCCTGCGATGATTTTGTGTTTCTGACCAGTGGCACTTTGATGCTGGGCCAAATACGTTTCCGTAGCAGCGGGGCTTTTTGTCCTGTGCTGGTTGCTTGTCTCAACACAAAACCAAAGCATGTTGCCTTAGGAGGGCACAGGTGGATGTCCCTAATAAAACCGCTGCTCGGCGCAGCAATGTCTTGGGCTGGTGGCAGCAAGAGACGGTGCCATTCACACTGCAGCTGTTCCTGAAAAGTAGATGGGCCTCAGTGGAAATGTGAAGAATCAGACCAATTTTGTCTATTCCCACTTGGCAAAATATTATAGGCAGTAGTCATAATGAAACCTCTATTTGTGGTGATACTGGAATTACCAATACTACAGTAGTGAGCAACTGCTGAAAAAAATAATTTCTAGTATGTTCTTTGGTGTGGAAGTGGCTGTGGAAATGAAATTTTTCAATACGTCTGATACCATTTCCCATCTTCAAGTGTTTTGCCATCACCAGGGGAAGGGACTGGAACTGCTAACACCTGTTCTTGCTTTGCTTTGTGTTTGGCGTGTTCCTCTTCTGTGTAGCTGTGTTTCCTAGTTTTCCCATTTGGAAAGTCATGTTTTGGTGACTGGCACCAATACCAGACTAAAGAATGAAACTAATAAGGAATTATGTAGTAAACCTCAGGTAGCAACTTAATCTTTTTTTTAAAGCAACATCGGTCCATTGGATATGGACAGAACCCCAAGTGTTTTCACATAGTTGGATGATGACAGATCCCAGATTTCCCATGGAGTACTCACCCCTTGCTACACCGGTCTCTTGTGTCCAGTTACTATGTGCAGCATACCCACAATTTGAGCTTCCTCAAATTGTGCCAGCCTTGTTAGCTCATTCTGTCCAACCAAAAAACCACTTCTCATTAGGAGAGTTTGGCCATCATGATAAATAACTTACACCAAGTATGTTCTGTAAGAGTCAACAAAAGGAGCAGTTATTATTGTTATTGACATGCTTATCTTCCTTCCAGATTAAATCTTCTGTTATGAAGATCTTTAACATTGAATTGGTTGAGTGTTGAGGCACACGAGCCACTGTAGATATATTTGATGAAGCAACCTTGAAACATTATTAGATGTCTGGGACATTAGGTACTTTCTATAATCAAGAAGTATATTCTGAAAATACTTCTCGTTTTTCCCTGTCTGCAGCACATACAAAGTTTTATGCGTAGCATTTCACATGAGAACTTCCTCTGAGGAGAAGGATTTTGGTCAAAGACTGTTTCTAGTATTTTTGTTAGGGAACATAAATAACTGTTATTCTAAAGCTAAATAACTACTTGTTAGTAGATAAATAAATGAAAGCATGCTACAGGAATTTTAATATAACAGTAGGATCAAGTAGACTTCTGTGTGGATTTCTAAGAGTTTCTCTTGTCCAGAATGTTTCTCCTTATGAGAGAGAAGAGACATGTATTTTTTCACGATCTTATCCGCAGACAAAACCATTATTTTACATCAGCTCACTGCACCGAGGAAGTGGAGGCTATGTGAATTCTGACAGAAATGAGTTTGTAAGCAGCATGAGTAGGACTGACTATTTTTGTTATTCAGTGTAAAGCCAAGTAAGCTTTGGACAAATGCCTGTTTTCTAGGAGAGTTAAGGAGATGTTCATACTCATCACTAACTTTGCCAAATAAAACATGTTCATCTAACCTGGATGTGGCTTTGGACTTCCATGCTTAGATACGAGTTGGATCTCTTCCCTGGGATCTCATTCTTAAGCAGATAATATAGAATCACAGAATCACAGAATGTTAGGTGTTGGAAGGGATCTCAAAAGATCACCTAGTCCAACCCCCCTGCCAGAG